TTTTTAATTCAAAACCTTTGAATGACAACAGGATGCAATTTGGATAGTGAAACAAAACAATCTCCTAATTTTCTTATCTAATCAAAACATGATTTGATAAAATTGAAAGCAGGTGGAAGGAGAGAGATGAAATTGATGAAACACATTCTTTGAAGGCAGGTGCTTACTGTAGTTTATTCCTTAACAATTTTGTTCAGCGTTCTCCCTTCCCCTTGTTGTTTCTAGTAAATAAGCACCAAGTAGCCTCAGAAGTAGTTATCAGTATATTAACTTGGAGCTAATAATATACATCTCTAATTTTGAAAAAAAAACAAATGATGAAAATAGGGAAATAAAATAGTTAACTTTTATTGGTGTAGAGTTTCATGGCTGCAGTCTGTTGGGCAATATTGGGGTTCAGGGTTCATCGACTGTGGTCTAGACAACAGATTTCCTGGCATTTGACTGGTATCTTCAGAGGAAGGCTGTCTTTGACAAATATGTGAAGATACATAGACCATCTTGCCTCTGAAGATGCCAGTCACATTTGCTGGCAAATATCAGGAAATCTGTTGTCTAGACCCACCCACCCCCAAACTGCCCAACAGTCACTTTTTATTGATTCTGAATTGGTTCATAATAGCTTTTCTAAAATTTATGAGACTCTGAGGCTAGTTGAAACTTTTAGTAGAAAAGTTTGGGAGCAGCTAAAGCAGGGGTGTCAAACTGCCGGCCCGTGGGCCGGACACGTCATCCGGAAGCTGCGCCCACCCCATTGCTGACAATGGCAAAACCATCCCAATATGTTGCGCGACATCATGTGACGTCACGAGTTTGACATGTCTGAGCTAAGGAGACAGTTTGGTGGGATTTTTTTTAAAAAAAACCTGTTTCTAAAGATATTAATAATGCAATAAATAAAAAATGAGAAAAATGGCTTGTTAAATATAGAAAGATGATCCTTTCTATCATCTTGTCACTCAGAGGACATTTGACCCTTCACTTTCGACTTTTGTTTCTTACTTTTGTAAATCTTTAGATTCTTAGAGCATTCTGTTGTCTCAACTTTATCAGATAGATCAAGATGTGTTTTTTTTTCCAAGTCAGAGATATCTTACAAAATGTGACCGATGTGCAAAAGTATGTGTGCAGGCATAACTTAGAACGTTACAGTGTAATTAAATGGGTTGATGGCAATATTGTCATGCACACTGCTGTCCAAAATTCCATATCCAGGAAAAGATGATGGCTAAGTGGTTGATAAGCTCGTAGTGTTTAAATAAGGAGATGTTCTCATTAATCCTTAGAATTGGCTATTCAAAAAGGGAACAGCTGGGAAAAACCTGACTAGCATCAGAGCCATTTTTTCTCAGAAACTTTCACTCCAGTGTCATGAATGCTGAGTCATGAAGCTTTTTAGAAAAAAAATCTATAGGTACCAGGTGCTTCCTGTTTTTCAGTATGGCAGAATTTTTGTTCAATTAGGCACTGTTCCCTCTATATGCCAAATATAACATAGCAAGATTGGAGCATTTCTGGCTGATAAATCACTAAAATGTGTATATCTTTAGGGTGAAAAACACATTAGCTCATTCATTGTGTTTGTCTAGGCATCTGGGCAGGCATATTTTGTGTCAGATTGCTTTTGTAAGCACTTTTAAGGACTCTGCGTAGTTATAATAGCACATGCCTCTAGCCCATTTACCAGGATGTCCCATGAATTTGGTTATCAAAGATCAAAGAGCTGTGATAATCAAATTCATAGCTAAACAGTGAATTTTTCAACCTGTCCTTTTTCAGGAGTGTTGAGGCAGCAGGAACAGGATGTTGAATTCATTTTTTGAAAAAAGTGAGAAAAACTAGTTAGAACTTTAGAAGCCAGGAAACTCAATATTCAGGGAGCTTAGAGGGAGGGAGCAGGGATTTGCCAACTATTCTGAGCTAGTTTGCTTTGATAATTTATTGACGCAAAGGATAGATTAGTGAGAATTCTTATAAGGTTCCTTAAAATACCAGGCCTTTGTGTATTTGGCAGTGATTCCTGGTATAGAAAGACACACCTCTTTCTTGTCTTTGCTATATGCTCTGTTCTATAGAATAAACCTTCCTGGATTGTGCTAACTTTAAGCATATGCTGATTTGCCTCTAGGGAAGTCCCCACTGAGCATACATATCTTTAGGCTCCTAAGGCCAGTTTTTTCAGTCTGTAACACTTAGCTTGAAAACATGTTATTCTCTCCCTGCTATTTAAAGCAGGAATACCTTTGCCATTAGGCCCTGGTTGGCTAATCTGGATATTGATTGCATCAGGGTATTGTTGCTGAAGTGGTGCCCTTCTGGGATCCAGGGCTGTTTTCCTGGCTGGCCCTGTTTATTTTTATTCTCCTCTGCTCTCTTGAGTATTGCAGCTAGGCTTTTGGGAAGTTAAGATGGTACTGTGAGAGCAAAAAGTGGTATGCAGAGTTTTTGGCCTCTACTTTGCCAGCTGCTGAACAGGGTAATTGGGAAAGTTCACCCATGACTCAGATGGTAGTTGGCTCAATCAATAACTGAATCTTGTTTCCCATCAAATGTAGGTGCAGCATTTCCACCAGAGCATCCAGAGATGTCATGATATGTTGCTGGTGATTGGTATCACAAAAAAATGGGGAGATGCGCTGAGTCCTGCCAGACAGAGCCGGATGATATTCTGAAAAATAACCTTGTAATAGATTTGGGGTTTTTGAAGGTTCTGAAGGGTTTTTTTTTTAATATTAGAGCAGGTTGTATTTCTAGATCAGACAGGCAGAAAAAGAAAGATTGATATTTTGGTTTGTCAGGATCCACATCCCATCTTGTTGTTCTGTAGCTTGTTTGTCATGGAAAGCTGTCAACAAGGAGAAGTTAACATTTGTTAACCACCTGAATGATAAAGTTAAGTGCCGTTATAGATTTCATTATTGCTTTCCGAGGGCATGTACTGGTCTTAAGTAAATAGAGGTATTATATCCCTAAGCTTGCAATTTATTTGGTACATGCTGCTTTTTATTTTGGCTAAGCCTTGGAGAAACAGCAAAGATTTGTGCAAAAGCCAATTTTCTTACTCTACCTACTATCATACTTAATGTTTTTATCTCAGCCTACATTTAAGGAACTTAAATTTCAATATATGGTTTCCACTATATTTGTTTTGCAGGATCAATCTTGGTCGGTCATCTGGACCAGAGGCTTAGTCTTCCAAGCCTTTGTACTCCGGCGGGAGCTCATCCTCAAGGAACTTCTCTCTATCAGAATATGTGGTTCCCTGAGGATGGGCTACAGCATAAGTCCAAAAGCTTGGAAGATTAAAGCTCTGGTCCCAGTAATCAACCCAGATTGGATCCTGCAACATTATCCTGGGACACATATATTTGCCTTCATTCCTATTTGTTTTATTCTCTCATAAGCCTGCGGGTGGATTTTCTCTCCGAATGTGGCTAAAATGAAGTTGGATAGTTTGAGACTCAACATATTATGAGATCCCAGTTAGAGTCTCAGTAAGTGTAAACCAAGCCATCACATTAAGCTGTGATACAGTTTATTTGGGCACAGTTATACTTTGATAAATGTGTTTAGCTTAGGAGATAGGATAGAGATAATAGAGTGGTTCAGTGTCACCTTATGAGCTTCGTAGCAGATGATAAATTCAAACTTGGCTTGAAGTGCTTTCTCCAGTATTATTTCCACTGTACTGCATTGATTTTCTCTAGTGTTCTTGTCAACATTGCCTTGGCCTTTCCTTTCATAGCAAGTTGAATAGTGAAATACCATGGTAAACAGCTCGTCTGATACTCCAAGGTCCTTCACTGGTAGCTTTTGTGACAGAACTGTCAGCCTATATTGTGTTGCAAACCCTTTTTATTCTCTTTGCAATGGGCACACAAGAAGAACTGAAAACTCAATAATTCCAAATACATGTGTATTGTGATTCCTATTATGTAGCATTTGTTATGGGCCATATTTCCACTAACCATTACTTCTGCTTAACAAAGCACTTTAATAGTAAAGCAAGCAAGCAAGAGAAATAATTCTCTTGGACATCCACATGATGCCCTTATGGCATGGACTGAAATCTCCCACCTGATTCATTTTTTTTAATTCTTTTGAATAACAACATCATTATCATCAGAAAGTAGGAGAGGTGTAGATGAAAAAACTTTTCAAATCTTGAAACAAATAGTTTTATTCTGAAGGAAATTATTTTGAATTGGTAGTGGTTGGATATAACAAACTTCAAAGTAAATTGGGTGTTCCATGTTTTGTTTAAATAAAATTTATAATAGTTTGGAGTGTTTCAGCAGTGGAGAGCTTTCTGATATGTTAGGAGGAGAGATGAGAAGGGACGGAGGGAAGGGGATGAGGGAATTAAATGCTGTGGTCTAAGAAAGGGTTGTAAGATCCAGTTATTATAGCCTATCTTAATAAAGTATGGCTTCCTATGGGGTTGATTTTCTGGCCTGCTGTACATAGTGGGGCTGACAACCAGGACTCTCTTGGCCAGAAAAATAACACCTGAGCTGCAAGTGGCAAGACAGCTTCCAATGACATCACTAAACTAGAATGGTTTCTCTCTCAAAACATTTCCCACCTAAACAAAAGTTCAAGTTGGTCTGTGTCCGAAACAAAATTCCGCATATTATTTTGAATTAGAAACAAATATACTCTTAAATTGCTCCTTGAATGCCTAGTATTCCCCAAAATTGAAGGCTATGAGATGGTCTTCCATTTCTAATATACCCTTTCCATGATAAGATGTAAAGCCAAGCATTAGTACTTTTTTCTCTGGTGGGATGGGCAGAGCAGTAACATTAGGGTTAGTATTTCTGATCTTCAGATATGTGCAAACATCACAGGAGTAGAAACTAACCCAAAGCCAAATTTTTTAAATAACTGTCACAGAAGTACTTAACAATTGATGACTTAGGTTAACATGAGCGCATTCATAACATTTTATAAGCTGTATTTTGAATTGTTAAATGGCTCTTTGCTATCTATAAGCAGAGATGTCAGACTTGTTTGTGGTCTGGGTATACAAACTGGAGTAATCAGAGACAAATCACTTTCAGTGCAGTAGAAGAGTGCATGATCCAGAATTCTGGAAAGGCTTTGATGAAAAACCTAGAATGGTAAGGGGAGAAGAGGCTGAGTTAGTAGAATTCATGCTGGGAGTTGGAAACCACAAATCTTGAGAGCATCCAGGTGAGGAAGAATAGAATATGAAAATAACAGGCTGGAGCGTCTTCATTAGTTTGAAGTAAGGTGGATAGCAAGGAGAAGCTTTTAGGGAGAGCATTTCCAAATGGAGATCAGTCACTAGCCAAGTGTGTCATTTGAATAACAACCTTGCTTTATGAATGTTTAGTTTATAACACATGGCTTTTTAAAGTGGTTAATGATATCATATTCACATTACAGTATAACCTTATTCCAGAGCTAACCATAGTAAACTAGTACTGTAAATTAGATTGGTCTTACTGTTCATCACTATTGCTATCAGACATGAAACAAATGTGTAAAACCTGTTTTTTAAATCCTTCCTTCTCACAGGACTGCCCACAGATCCTTCCAAGCACCCAGATCTATATCCCTGTCGGTGTGGTGAAGCCTATCACTTTAACAGCCAAAAACTTGCCACAGCCGCAATCTGGACAGCGCAATTACGAATGCATCTTCCACATCCCTGGGAGCCCCTCCCGTGTCACTGCCCTGCGTTTCAACAGTACCAGCATCCAGTGCCAGAATACCTCGGTGAGTCCATAGCCCAGAACCGTCTTCTGAAAAACTGCTTTTGGCCTTGGATATAGAGGAAGCCTGAGTTGGGTAGGATCATAGGAAATTAAGGATGTATTGTGTTCTTTGCTCATTCTGCCTAATTAACATCAATCCTTTTTAGTGGGTTACTGCCTTCCCTTCTTTTTTATGGAAAATGTAGTTGTTGAGCTTCATCCAGGCTTTTCTCTTAAGCTTTAGCATTCTAGTCTCATTCATTTTGTAGTTGTGTTGTTATTGTTGTGGAGGTGTGGGGAGGAAGTAGTATTAAGCATGTTCACCACCTTGGGTTACTTATAAAGTAATAAAGGCAGGATAAAAGTTAAATAAAAAATAAATTCATTCAGAGGTGTGTGTGTGGGGGGGGAGAGGGCAGAAGATATTTTTCCCCCTTGTGTCCATATTATCCTATCCCCAAATACTTCCTGGATGAGAAACCAAATGTTTTTAATTAGGTCAGGTTAGTATTCTCACGTGAGATTATTTAATTGCCATGAGTGCTCTTTTGACAGAAAAAATAACAACAAAGGCAGCAGCAGGTGCTGTTATTGTTTCAAGAAGTTCCACATCCCTCATAGTACCAGAGTATTGGATGAATGGGCTTAAGGGAGCTCTGATCATAAAGACCTGTAAATTTAATGTGCTAATCTGTAGAGACATAGTTTCTTGGCTAGCCTTCTGGGCTATCTTCTAATCATCACACCTTTATTTAAGACTCTGTTCTGCTGAATAGACCACATTAGCTCAGGGGAGTGAAGTGTGGTTAAACTAGCAGAAGGACAATAGAATAATATTGATAGGACAGTCTAAAGAATTGTATGTGTAATTAGTGTCAGCAAGTAAACTATTACTTTTCTTCATTTTTCAGTCTGCATAGAGACATCCAGTGAATTATCCAATGAACTGTTACATTATGGCCCATATCTAATAAAATTGGGTGAAATTGCTTATTTGGTAGCCTTTAAGAATAAACTTATATGGTCTGTCCCTTACATTTTTCTAGTTTTTCTCAGAACACAGAACTTTTTGTGACTGTCTATTTTACACTATATTATTTCCCCCATAGCTGAGATTTGTAGCCTGCAACTCTCCACAGTTTTGACTATAATCCCAAATTGCTGATGAATTATAATTTTAATGTATTATGAAAAGGAGATTTGATTAAGTATACTGTATGAGGAGAAATCAGATTAGATGTGATTAATTTTAGTTACATTTAAGAAATTTAATTTTATTCCAAAACCATGTTTAGAGGTGTCCTCTCTGTTATGTTATTTGAAAATGAAATGCAGCCCTCAGCTGAAAGTTGTCTCCAATTGTTATGATATACTGTACATGAAACTACTGGGAGACTTTATTTGAGTTTTGGAATTTGATGCCCCAAGTCTTATTTCCTTTCTGACTAAATCCAAAGAAGCTGTTCCAGGTTCTAAATTACTGTCATAATATTAGATAGAATAGGACAGATGAACGAAACACAAATTGAAGCTTAATCTAGATGGAGACGCTGTCAAACAGTTGAAATTCAGATCAGAAAATAAGAAATGGAATCTATACTGGTTGAACTTACAGTATACAATACCTCTCTTGGACACTCTAATTCTGGATATCTGGGATTTTGTGTTCACTGCAGGTATCTTGAGTACTTATCTCATAAATCCTCCCTGCCCACTTAATTGAAATAACATTTGCAGGAGAGAAGCTGTTTTGGTTTTACGGTGAGCCAGGATCCTGATAAGGCCTGGTGAGACTAATATTAGTAAGACAAGAATGTATTTTAACAGCTAAGTCTGATATATCTCAAATCAGCTGTATTTGGGAAGAGGGCAGATGTTAACTAGAAAAACCTAAAGCATAATGTATGAGTTCATTGTAATTAGGCAGCAGCAATCAAATCTTTCCTGTAAACTAGATAGTAGACTATTAAGAGAGTTTTTTTTCTATTGAATCTCTGACATGGTTGCTCTTTGTACTGCCAGCAAAGCCTCCAGGACTTCCATCCTAGCAGAGTTGCAGAGAAGGGCTGTGTGTTTGTGTATATTTACAAGTGAGTCAGGTCAGGCAGTAATGATTTATTTAAAAATTAGGTTGAATGTTCTTTTTGTAGGTAAAATCCTATTTTGTTTGAGGTTGTGTGTTCCTTCTTTCCTTTCTTGGTGACACTTCTGCCTGCTTGCTAGTCATTTCTCTAGACACTGGTTGTTTCTGCTGCCATTAACAGCTGGATACTAGTCATTTATAACATGTTTACTGTGAGAGAACAAACAAGGTCTCTTCTCTTTTCCAAGAAACCTTGTGTGAGTATTGGGAATGCGCACATCCATGTAGAAGCGTGCATAACCTCAAACCAAATATTTATTGATTCTGCAACTCATATGGGGGAAAGTTATTTGTATGACAGTTGAGAAAACCTATATTAGTACATGTGCACTGAAGATCAGGATGATAGAGACTGGACAGTAGATGACACAGAAAACAAGTTGGCTGGCTGGGGAATTCTGGAAGTTGAAATCCACCCATCTTAAACCTGGCAAGGTTGAGAAACACTAACATAAGAGAGAGAACTCATCTAGTTTATGAGGACAGATTATTCCTTGGCCACTGACAGTTGCACTGTACACAATACAGTTTTGCCATTTTCCCAGTTATTAGTTCAGAGACAGTTCTTCAGAGGTCAACCAAATGGCTATTTCCTTAGCAGGAGGTCTGTTAACTGCTCTGTCTCTTGAGTGCTGTCAGTGAAACATGTACATAGTCTTATCACATTCAGCTTGAAATCAGGTCCGCAGGAATGTGGAGATGTGAGAAAAATTTGCTACTAGGTAGTGTGAATACTTCAGAAGAAGTAAGTTTGATGTTCTTCAGGAGAAATCATATTAGAAGGAAGATCTGTTTCAAGAGACTGAGTCAGCTGGTTAAATCACTTAGTTGCACTGCTCTACTGGAAATTTAGCTGTGAGCTTTGACTTTTTACCAGTTATAAATGTATTAAGTTTAGAGCCAGTCTTTTAGTAACATGCATGTTCATATCACTGAAAATTAATCAAATAAAATAATACAGCATACTAACTTGACTAAACAGGAAGAGTGAAAACTTAAGTGTCTGAGAAATGGAGTTAGATCAAATTCAGCAAATTCTGTAAAAGGTCTTAGAAGGTGGGGTTCCCTTATTCTAACAAGACATAAAAATGATGCCAAATGAACCTCAATGGGAATTGATGAGACAGCTGGTTAAGTTTATGTGAATTGAAGCTGCAACAAATCTGAGAAAGTATAACTTTAAAAGTTCATTCACTATGAACTTTTAAACTATCTATTCTTTAATCTTTCTCTATTCTTTAATCTCTTTCTCCCTCTTTTTCCTTCTCCTCCCCTTTCTCTCTGTATAGAGTATACCAAGTCAGGACGACATATTATATAAATAACATTAAATATTTGAATTGGTTGCCATTTTCTTTTAAACACTTCCTTATTCATTTGACATGTGACCTTTATACATTTCTAAGTACAGTAACATTTTCTCTGAAATAAAAATTAATAACATTAATAAAACATATTGATTGGCCTGTGGGACCCAACAAGGCATATGTCTGTGTCTTATGTTAATACATAGTATTGATTATATGACTGAAAGGAAGACTTTGTTTTTTTCTCAGATAGCTTTAAATAAAATCAAAGAATCCAACTTAGATTTACTAAGAGTACTGGGATGGCAGCACATTGTTTTTCTTGTCTTAAATTTAGTGCTGCCTCCCTTCTTTTTGGATAAATATAGTCTCTCATGAAAAGCGATTCTGAATGTTCTGTATGAATACACATCCTTACGATTTTCTGTTTGTTCATGCGGCTTTGATGCATCCTTTTCACTTTCTTCCTTTGAGGATTTGGGCTTGCTTAGTTGTATTTTTAACAAGAAAAATGAAAGACAGACACGGATCTGATCACCAACCTGTGGCTAATCCAGCATGCTGTCTTTCGTTACTCCAAGATACTGGTTTTCAGGTATCTAAGATTACAAATAGCTTTCTCATCCTTGCTTTCATGAATTGTCCCCATTGCCCTGTTTCTATCAAACTCTCAAAATGGTGAACCAGAGATTGGATCCCGTCAGTACCTAGTATCTTCTGTTCTATTATTTTTGCTGGGTCTTGAACATTCGGGGTCAGGTCCTTTCCCTCCAAATCTTTTCTTTAAAGCTTCCCATTTCACTTTAGAACACAATTGAGCTTCCTTCATTCTAAAGAGATTTGGTCTGCTTTATACTGAAGGACACTGTTTAACAATAAACAGCATGGCTGAACAGTAGCAAAAGTGTTAGCTTAATGGGTCCTGAAGGTTGTATTTGAAATACAGCCCACGGGGAAGGAATTCTGTATCTATAGCAACACAAAACCTGAAAGAAGGAAGAGCATTTTCTCATCTATAAGCACAAGACTGGAGAACATGAATTCCATCTATGCTATTATTGTTTCATTAACAACAACAAAAAAGGGTGCTAGGGAAATGCCATGGGATTTTTTTTTTAAGCATAGTTCTGTATTCCTCTAGTGGCTAAACCATATATAGATTTTGTGTGTAGGGATTCCATTAAAACTCAATGGAATTTCGGTTAGCCTATTAATTATAAGACTACAGCAATGCTACTATGGAGAAGCAGGCCAGTAGATATTGTTTGGACATGTACTCAGAAAGCGGTTCTGATCTAAAAGTTGATAATGGAAGTAGATAAAGGCTCAAAAGCAGAATAGAGTTCCTGGGGTTAAAAAAGGCTTAGAATCCAAGAAAAAGCTCATTTAAGAAAGATTTGTTCCCACAATCAATTCTAGGCAGCATGTCTCATTTCATTTGCATATGTGTTTATAATTTTGCATGGGAAAAGTCACGGCTATTCTCAGGATTGGATTTGTTGTGAAAAAGAAATCTTGTAGTCTTTTTTATGGGAAAGAGTTGATGTTTATATTTTCCTATGAAATGACATC